TTTCTATATTTAGGAAGCTGGAATAACAAATGAGTGTGTGTGTGTGTGTGTGTGTGTGTGTGTGTGTGTGTGTGTTTCTGATGCTCATTAACCACAGGCAAATTAGTAGACACTAGGTTTAGTTAGTAAACTTCCTCTGCAAATTGGGGCATCTTGAACTTTCAAAAGGGCACTTCTTAAATCCGGGAAAGTGTTAGAAATGTTTCTGTTAATTATTTTTTTGTCAAATGCTTAGTTTAAAATGCTTTTTGATGGGTAAAGAATTTATAATGAAGTTAAAATTCATTGTGGAAAAGATATATGCTAATAACTGATCATGGACATTAACTAAATGAATGACATTAGCTATGACATATATTTTGAGGTTGTTAACCTGCATTGTAGCTTTTAATTTTTAAAATTTTGATTTTTAATTGGTTTTCACTTTTTTTTTTTTTACTCTGATTTTTTTTTTCTTGGAGCATCAGTCCTTGGTTTATGTGGAACAAGGCCTTGCTGTGTCGATGGGTGATTGGGCCTGGCTGGCCCCGCCCCTGGGATGATGTCTGATTGCTCCGTTGAGCTCCTGAGTGATCCATTCTTGAGTGACTTGTGACTTTGGTCTCTTTTGTGCTCATCACTAGTGTTTTCGATCCTTTTTAATTAAGATCTTTAATGAAGAGTATGCTTTAATGATATTATTTCTACAATGTGAGTTTATTATTTAATATTTTCAAACAAATGTGTTCAGTAGAGGTGAAAACAGAAAAACTAATTTTCCATAAGCAGAAATTTAATTTTTTCTTAACATAAGACAAAGCTAATGGTCCAAATATTTTTCTACCCTTGGATAAGTTAAAACAAGTCATAATCAGAGGATGCTGTGTGTGTGATCTGTGTTTATTAGTAACAAATTAGTAGACATTTTGTCTCTGGAAACTTCCAGTTTTATTTGATTAATGCATTCTAACTACAGTGGGCCTCATGGACTTTCAAAGGGAACATACTGATCTGAGAAATCATTAGAGATGCCCATGTAAACCTGTTGTATTTAGTTTGTCATATGCTTAGTTTAAAAGTACTTTTTCTGAGAGATAAAATGTCTTCCCTTTCTATCTCAGCTCTAATTGACATCAGCTGTAGTTAGTCTACGGCCGGGGCATATAAAGAAATTCAGGGACTACTGAAGTTCAAAGCCATGGACCAAAGCCTGCTCTGAGTTGCTTCCTCTGTAACAGGAGAAAAAAATGGCCAGGATTTGGGAGCACTTTACTCTTTGTAAGTGTAATGTAAGTTCATATAAGTCCAGTTTTGGACACATTGAGTGTTGAATCTTATCTCACGTTTCAGGCTCCAAATTAACCATTTGTTTAAACATCGGGGTATTTTAGGGGAAAACTTAAGTTTTAAGTTTTATTGAAGTCTCTCCTATTTAGTAATTCACTCCAACTGGATGTGTCTGACACAGGGTGCGTGATGAAGGGTGCGTGAATGAGTGTGTACTTTCTTGCTATTTTCTGTTGCAACATTGGAGAGGGGGCCACTCAGTGGCTGAGAGCTAAGACCAAAGACCAACAAGGCGAGATCGGAAACCCAGCTGTCCCACCTACTGCTGGTGCCAGTGCCCCGTCTGTAAAACATGGGTGATAGGAGTGCCTACCTCACACTCACAGGACTAAAGCACTCGGCTGGGGCTTGGCACATAACAAATATTCAAGTACTGAACTGGTAGCCATAATCCTGTTACCATATTTTTCTGTGTAAGCACCTATGAATCTACATTAAATGTTGACAGGAAACTGCTAAAAAAAAGTTTAAATTAACTAAAAGTGAGTTAGACATCAGACTGCTATCAGCCCCTCTTCTCCTTAAGCCAACTGGAGCCCTCTTCCCCCCCTACCCCCCTGCTATACCCCCGCTTCTGCCCATGTGGTGGAAGCGAAACAAGTTAAAAAGCTTTGCATTTGGAAACTGGAAAGCAGATGCGTAGAGCAGCGGCTGCCTCTGTTTGAATGCACATTGAAATCAGTTTTCTAATGCCGCCTTTATAAAGATGAGTTAAGCGATCCATTGACATATCATTATCACATTCTGAAGTTAAACAGCCACAGGACCTATGAACTCTCATCATGCAGTTAATTATTCCTGGATTTTTCTGTGCTCTTAAAACATATTTTATTTATTTAACCATCCCCTGGGAGCACTGGCTGCCTTTGTCCCCATGACAGGACCAGTGGTGTAAAACCTCTGCATCTGTCAGATTTCCCCATGTGCAGCATAATTGCCTGATTTCCATTTGAAAGTACAGCCCTGACATTACAACTACATAGACCCACCAATGATAACAATGACGTGCTGACACCTACAAGGGGACAGGGGTCCGGGGGGCATAATGCCAAATGCACACCCGCCTTCAGATGGACCAGGCCTGAATTTACAGCTGCAGTGAAGTGGTCCTGGGGAACAACACCACCAACAAAAAAGAATAAGTAAAGGAAATCAACAGATTAGCATCCGTGCAAGTCTGGTGGAGCCAGATGGCTCTGTGTGGAAATGGAGCTGCCCTGCTTTCTCCCCGTAACCCCGACCAGCAGACAGCAAGCCTGCTAAGAAGGGAGAGCAATGATCTCATTCCTCAGCCAGGCACAGACATGATTCGCCTTCTTTCTCTCACACACAACTCACACTGGAGGAAGTTGGAGAAGAAGAAAGGGTGAAAAAGAAGGGGTGGGGAGGTTGGGTTGTCACAAAGAATGAGCCAGTCATAGCCCAGCGTGAGGGTGAGATGCCAGCCCCTGGCCAGGCCCAAACATTCGAAAACAGGACTCTGATGTCTACAAAGGAAGGAGAAAGGGGAGGCAAAGGACCCCTGACAGATCCTTACCCCTCTGCTTGCGGCCATGAGCTCTACCTCCAGAGGCTTGGTGTGTGAGAGGTTGAGAGGTGGGGCAGCACCAGCTGAAGGCACCATGGGATGAAGCTCTGGACTCCGCTGGGGAAGGATGGTGGACAGTTTTTAAGTTCTTACTAATGAAAATTTCCATCTCTCTTCACGGGCTGGAGGCCTGTGAGTTTGTAATGGTCTGGCCTGCTAGACCAGGTCAGAAGCCAGACCATCCATCTGCTTAGATCTGAGTCTGCCCTGCCCCTGGGGTGGAGGGAGCTGAGGGGCTTGGAGCCAGACAGGGTCCCGGGTAAAATGAATGTAACCAGGTGTTGGTGGAGGTAGATGCCTCTCCTGGAAGGTCCTAAGGCTGGAGCAGGGCTCAGCCTGGAGTCATCCTGCCTTCCCAGCTGAGCAAGGCATTCACTTCTCATAAACAAGTCTGTTATCTGGAAAGACAGCCAGAGGCCTGGCTGATGGTCACCAGGCAGACACCAGAGGCTGGAGTTAGAGCACTGGCAGAGGCTGCAGAGGGGCAGATGTCCTAAGAGCTACTCTGCACGCTCAGTGGATGTTCACACACTCAGGGGCTCCGGAGGGCTCCAACCTGGAGAAGTGCATCCAAGAGAGAACGCTCCCCTGGGAGCCGCAGGGGGTCACAGAGCACACCAGCAGCCTGCCTGGGTTCCCTGGGCACCTGAAGTTGGTCTCTACAGTGTTTGTTCCAGAATAAATAGTAGGCTCCAGGGGACACCAAATGCAAGATGAAGCCATCCGTTTACATGGGAAATGATTATTTCAATCATAATAAACATTGAACAAAATCCTCTCATTTTCAACCAGGGATAGGGCACCTGCTTCACAAGGTCTGGCAGTCTCAGCACAGCTGCCAGCTGGGAGCCGAGGCCTCAGGTTCCTGCTCTTCTCCTTCCACTTCACCAAACAACTGCTTTGCTCTTCATCTCATGGGCAATGCTACCGCCTTACAGAGTTCATAGTCCTGGATTGGGTTCTTGCTCATAACTGAGCTGAAGGACTTGGAAGGAAAGCACAAGGGAAGTAAATAAGAATTATCTTTATCTTTTCTTGCCCCTAATTTAGCAGGGAGACCACTTAATAGCAATATTTTAAAAAATGAAAAGTACTGGCATTTAAAGATGCTTACGAAGTGTGGGTAACTCTTTTAAGTGCTTTGTATATATTTCATATAATCCTCATGACACCCCTATGAAGCAGGTCCTCTGATCATTCCCATTTTACAAAGGGGACATTGAGGCACAGAGATGTTAAACAACTTTTCCAAACTCACACACCTGGTAGATGCTAGAACCAGGATTCAAACCTGCTTCTACCTGGCTCCAGGGTCCATACCTTCGGGCTATCCTGTCCTTTTTGATGTTGTAATAACATAAACAGCACATGTCCAGTCTAAGCTATTCACCGGTACCAGTGGCGTGATCTCAGGCCACCAAATCTCCCTGAGTTTCTGTTTCCTCATCTGTCAAGTATCTGGAAGAACTGTCTTATTACTAGGTTGTTGTCAGGAACAGAAATAACGTGTAACATGTGCGCAAGGCCAGCGCCTAGCATGTGGCGGATGGTCAACAAATGTTAGTCATTACTATTATTGTATCACATTCATCTTTAGGCTCTTGTATTTTAATGACCCCATTAAAATACACTCACACACACACACACACACACACACACACACACACACACACACACACACACAGACAAAAACAGAAAACAAACAAAAAACACACCTGTGGGGTAAGTGAGGCAGCTGCCACTAACCCATTTTATAGTGGCTGAAACTAAGATACCAAGCCATCAGGTGGTGCAGTTTGGACAAAACCGTACCTCTTGACTCAGCACTTTTTGCTCAGTCTAATCTGGAGACTGTAGCCCTGTGAAACTATGGGCCACACCTGCCTATTTTTAGAGACAAGACACAGGTGCTATCTAGAAGAATGAATCAAGTTATTCAACTCTCATCACCTTTCCTTCACCTCCTGCCCCTGGAATTGGCTGGGGACAGAGTCAGGTCCAGCCCATGCCCTCCTCGGAAGAGCTGAAAGTTAATGCCTCTGGAGAAAAGTAAGGACCTAATAAGCATGAATCACAAAATTTTGTGTGCCCTTAAGATTTTCTTTATTACCCAGGTACCAATATATATACATACATATATCTTTCACAGACAGTAAGTACAGCTGCACAGTCCATAGGTCACCGCACTGCAGCCCTCTCCCCACGCCGCACACCTCAGAGAACATTTCCAACCCTCTCCATTCCATGGCAGGTGATCCCACGCCTGCCGCGGGAAGCAGTGCAGGAGCGTTCTGTGCCGTCAAGGAAGCCCGCCAAGGGCCCTGGGCGTCTGGCTGTGCTCTGCCTTGATTCCCTCTCTCCTAACTCTGCCCTTCCTGTGATTTTCACATTTTCTCCCCCACTTTACTTTCAGGACATCTCTGGGGAGTGCAGTTTTTGTTCTATTGCTTCATGCAATTTCTAAGGCTGGGAATGAAAATTATTTCCTGGCTGAGTGCCTTTCCCATCCAGGCTGTGTTGTGGGACGATTCATAAACTGGGGGTCTGGGTCTCCTTCCTCCCCTCTCCCTAATCCCAGCATCATTTAAAACAAGGCACTGCATGGAATGAGCTCCAAGGCCCAAGGTCAGGGTGTCCTTTGAAGGTGGCCACTGGGGCTTTTGCTCAGAGGCAGGGATTCAGTGGAGCCACAGTGATGGGAGCTGAAAGGCATTCACTCCTGTTGGAAGAAAACAGAAACAACCCCACAGCCAAACTTCTGACCTATGATAACAATCAAGACCCAAAGTCTCAAAGTTGGCTTTGACCTGAGACTATAAAAGCACATTTTCCAAACTTGTCATGATTGTGTTTCATTTCTAGACTTTTATTCTCAAAGGGACAGTGAGGAAGAGATGCAGCTTAAGAAGTTTTGAGCTGAGGAATGAAAAGAAGTTACTTTGTTACCATAAACCTGAGTAGGGGGAAAATTAAATCAAGGTGTTCCCTTCCCCTCTGTTACAACAGAGCACAGACCCCAGAGGGCAGAGTGTCATTAACAAAGGGATGTGTCTCTGTCTGATCTGAAGATGGTTCTCTCTCAGCTGCCTCCACAGAGTCCTGTCCAGACGCTGGACTCCTTTCAGGCATCCATTCCTCAGAATCTGAAACAAGACAGACGGGTGAGTGAATCAGTCAAGCCTCAGGCTGGTCTTTGCATCAGGGGTGTCTGCCTAAGCCAGGCCCCAGAAAACACGGTGTGGGCACCAGAGGCTTTCTTTCCCACCTCCTGGGCAGGAGCCCATCTTCACAGCCCAGGCCAAAGAGGTGCATACAGGCCTCAGCCGTGTTGCCACATTATTTTTTTTTCATTCCACACTGTGACATCTTGTTGGTCACATACCAAATCTTTCCCTGTCCGTAACTCACATACGAGCACCGAGCATCCAGACTTGCTGCTCTGCGACTGTCCACAGGGGTGGGAGCCTTTTTCTGCCAAGGGCCATTTGGATATTTATACCATCATCCCCAGGCTATACACAACGATCAACTTAAAAATCACCCTGCTGTATTTGGCCAAACATTTAACCACCCTTATTGCTTTGGCAGGGCCAGACTACATGATTTTGCAGGCCTTATACCACCCTCAAGCCAGACTTTCCCCACCCCTGAAGGGGTCTGCACATCAACAGCACAGAGGCAAATGCTCATACCCAGCATGGCCACTGCTCCTTATTACCAGCTCTGGGCCTCATTTGTCCTCATCTGAAAAGTGGGGCCATAACGATTATACCTGCCTCCCCGGGTCACTGGGATAATTAAATTAGATGATGTATATAAAGTGATTAGCACAGTGCCCCACATAGAGTACAACTCAAAGATGCCTGTTCTTAATTCTAAGTATGGAAAGATGACCCGGGAGAAAGCACTGGAAAAGCCCCTGGCTCTGTGAGGCACAGCGAGGAGGGAGGGAGAGGACTCAGAGAAGGAGTGAAACACTGTCTCCACCTCCTGCTCCCCCTGCAGTTTCATTTGGAAAGGTCAGCATCTAAGATTTTAAAGTCATATAGCATTCCCTCTTCTTTGTTTTACACTAACCATTGTTCCAGAGACATTCAAGTTCAGAGAGGCTCCCATGTTATATTTGAGGCTCCAGTGTCCTAGACATCAGGAAATGCAAGAGGGGCTTCTATCTTTAGCCTCTGGATTAACTTTGTCTTAAGATAAAAAAGCAAAGGGTAGTTTCCATCACAATTAGACTGAGACAAAGCTCAATGTGCTAATGTACTAGGCACTAATGAACGTAAGTGATGATATACATGTAGAAACCTCTCCCTAGTCTCTTTCCAGTCTCAGGCCCAGGAGGAGGTGAAAATTTGGGAAAGGACCTTCTAGAAAAGAAGAGGGCAGTTCCTGGGACACCTAGAACCATGTCACTGGTGCAACTCCAGGAAATGATTCATATGGCATATTTAGCTCATGCATAAATTGGGGCTAATCTGATAAGGAGTCAAGGTTCAAGTGTGACATTTTTATAGGATATGACCAAACTAGAACTGGCCTAGTGGAGATGTCCTTAGCTACACATTCACTATACCACAGCCTCCCCTCACTTCTGTCATTGAAAGACGGAATTGTGTTCAGCAATGTCTTTGAAAATTATTAATTTTTCAGGTATGGGGTTTTATTTATTTATTTTTTTGCTAATTGTCTACTAGTTTTATTACTTCAAACACTTTATTCCTTTCACTTGAAATTACAGGGTTTATTATGGTACTGTTTTTCTTTGAGATGTAAACAATATTATAATTTTAAAAGGAATTAAATTTTCAAACATGGAAACAGGCAAGATAAATGATAAGGACAGAGTGTTTGAAAAGTTTGAGATCAGTTTGGTTTTGGTATCATTGTAAAAAAAGAAAAAAAGGAGTTCATTGCAGATAGAAATGTAATTTTTTTTTTATTGAGAAGATATAGCTGTCTGCCTCCAGGTCTATAAATGTTCATCAATACTCCATCCAACATCTCTCTGTGCCTCAGTTTCTCCAGATGTAAAAGACTAAATAATACATCTATCTCCCACTCAACTCACAGAACTGTTAAAAGGACATATGAGAGAAAATATCCACAAAATAATACTATGATCACAGAATTTATTTGTTTTGCGTCTTTGTAATTTTACCAAATGTTGAGGGTTACCCTAATGAAAATAAAAACAACCAGAAGGGGTTGGAGTTCTTAAGAAAAAAAGGAGGAAATATAGCAAAGAAAACTTTGCCTTCACCTGTCAACACTCAGGGTCTGAGTACAATGTGTGCCCACTGCCAGACAGCACCATGATTTCTTTGTAACCAAGATGAGTAATCTATTTTCTGGCTTAACCTCACACAAGGAATTCTAGAAGTAAACTCAACACTAGAAAATAACATTTTTCATATCTCTTAGTCTCCCCTTTATTCAACACTTTCTGTTTTGTTTTGTTTTGTTTTTTCCCTTCTAATTTATCTTCTCAAAAGTTTTCCACTGAGCTTCCCTTTACTGGTTTATTTCTCTCACTTCCACAGCATATTTCTCTCTCTTCTAACCTGGCCATTTTTCATTTTTCTTGTTTGTACCTTCTCCATTTCTACTCCCATTTTTCTTACATTTCTATTAAACTAATTTTCCTCTTTCCTTTTCACTCCTTGAGGAAAATTTTCCTGGTCAACAGGGAGAAAAAGATGACGTGCTAGGCTTGTGTTGGGACGAGAACTGAGAGGGCGTGTTGAAGCTGGACAGGCCAAGGATGACTCCATAAGTGCGAGTCAGTGCCGCCTGACAATTCAAAGCAGACTTGGTCAGCCCAGACTTGCAAGACTCTCTTGAAATTTCTACCCGTATATATTTGACATTTTAACCCCAATCTAATTCCACAATACAGATGGTGGAAGAATTTCTTTGTTTACTTGAAATGAATTCTCATACATCATCAGTTGCTCCCACAAGATCATTGTAAGAAAAAAGTATATATGTATACACATTGGTCACCACCCTCTAAGATTGCCTATTAGTGCCATCTTTTTCCTATACTAAATGCTCATTGTGCACATTGGGAAATGTTGCCTTCTGGTTAATTAAGTTTTATGATTCATTGAGAATTACAATGTACATCATCCATAGATTACTGATATCTAGACATCTGGAATAATCTAAATACCAAAGCTAAATTGAACAAGATTAACCATTCTTTGAAAGTTCTCACGGAATAGCAGGGTCCTTGCAGGTATGTTGTAAATGTGCAGAAGTGAAAGGTAACTGGGTTTCCATTTGTTGCGATGTCACTGTGGCTTTTGATATGTGACAGCACAAGTTGCATGGGAAATGAGTGTACCATGTGAAGCACCATATGTACCATGGTACCATATGTACCATGTGAAGAACATACGTCTTTTTAAAAGGTCTCTTCTCTGTTTTGAAATATGTTTATATGTTCAAAAGAAAGTCATGACCTGTCAAGTTACAGAACACTGTATATGTGACAATCCCAATTTTATAAGAAAAAGTATATATGTATACACATGCACATGCATAGACACATATACAAGTCTGGGAAGATAGGCACCAAAATTTTGATAGTAGTCTTTCTGATGGAATTACTGATGCTTTTTCTGTCTTCTTTTGGTTTACCTGTACTTTCTTGCTTAAAAATATAATATTTAAATATTCCCTCTATGATATAAATGAACGAACAAATAAGCCTTCTTTAGTTGAACAAACTAACACAGCCTAGTAAAGAATTAATAGCACCACAGAAACCCATTTCAATATAAAATAAAATTGATTAAATTAAAAGAATGGTTGCAAAAGAAATCTTTTTCTCTATGGAAAACAACCATCACATGAGTCATGTTCTCCTATAGCAGTGGTCGGCAAACTCATTAGTCAACAGAGCCAAATATCAACAGTACTTCTTCAAAATAGACTCGCCCAGGCCGAAAACTGACTTCTGCGCATGGGCCACAAAGTTTCAATCGCACTGTACGTGCGCGCCTGCAGGTGGTATTTTGTGGAAAAGCCACACGCAAGGGGCCCAAAAGCCGCATGTGGCTCGCGAGCCGCAGTTTGCCGACCACGGAATAGCAGTGTCCTTGCAGGTATGGACCTATAGGAACTTGGGGTGCAGGAGTGATAGCAATATGAAGTTTCAGGAAATGCTATTATTTTTAGGAATGTGGGTGGAATTTGGGTCATTGCCCAGTTGTTACCGGCAAGGCTCTGTGGGTCATAAAGTATATGATTTGGGGTTATAATAAGGGATTCTTACATTGGCAATTAAAATAATTTCTTATGAATTCTGTACCTTTTTCTAAACTCCTAGAGAGAATAGATATGGGAAACCACATTTTGGTTTCAATATGACTCTCCATCATATTGGGTGGGGGTTGGCTTGAGCCTGAAGTCAGACCTTCAGCTGAGTTGTCTCAGTTGTCTAGGCTTTGCCCCTCCCGGTACTTCCCAGCATGGGCCTGTGGTTGGACGTCGTGTCCCTCTGTACCTCTCAGCCTGGCCCCCTCCTGGCCTTTACTCTGTTTGCTCTCCATGTGTGCTGAACACCCCCTGTCCTTTCACTTGGTTCTGTCTGGGTTAATTTTACAATAAATCCACCTGCTCTGGGGAAAGGGCAAAGTTGACCATACAAGAGGTGTGAACAGAGAAAGGAGCCATGGATTCTAGAAGTGATATTTTTGGAGGAAAACTCCACCAGCAGGAGAATTTTATCCTAGAAATAAAAAGGGTGCAATGGATTCCCCAGCTTTCAGGAGGGGTTGCCATTCTAGAATCACCCACCCCCTTGCCTCCTATGTCTACCCACAGGCAAAAGAGGCCACACCCTGGAGGACTCGTTCTCCAGCACTCAGAAGCCCCTGCATTCTCTAGAGATCACAGAGGCCACATCCTTGTTCCTGCGTCACCTGCACCTTCTCCTAAAGGTTTTCCATGTCTTTGGGGTCTATCCAGCATCACCTGTGCTCGAAGCTGGCCCTGTAGCACCTTGCACTAGGCTGAAGTCCTGACTTCCATGTGCATCTCCTGCCTGCTGATCTAAAGCCCCTTTGTGCAGCAGATCATTTTTATTTTTTTTAAATCTTCACCCGAGGGTATTTTTTAAATTGATTTTTAGAAA